TCTTGCTGGCGGGTGCGTATACGAACATGAGTATGTGCATAGCGTGTGCATATGTTGAGGATATTTTTTTTTTTTGGTTTGTTTGGTTGGACGACCTAAATGTAATGGGATGTGTGTGTGTGTGGTACAGATGTTTAAAAGTGTGAAACGACACAGACTGGGAAAAAAATGGTAGTTCAGTCTAGTGCGTCTTGCTGGCGGGTGCGTATACGAACATGAGTATGTGCATTGCGTGTGCATATGTTGAGGTTATTGGTTTTTTTTTTTTTTTTTTGGGGGGGGGGGGGGGGTGTTGTTTGGTTGGACAACCTAAATGTAATGGGATGTGTATGTGTGCGTGTGGTACAGATGTTTGACAGTGTGAAATGACACAGACTGGGAAAAAATGGTAGTTGTTGGTTGTTTGTGTGCTTCTGTTAATAAAATAGAGGTCTGAGCGCGGTTGCTTTTAAACGTGTGCAATCACATGAATTTTGTTAACAACTTTAAATAATGTTAAATCATATTTATGTGGCAGGTGCATTACTCATGCACATACTAGAACATGAATGCGCACACGCAACATATTATACAACAATGTAACTACGCACATGCCATAATTCGTAAACGCACGGACCTGTACAAACTTAGATCACGACCCCCGGGAAAAAAACAATACATATAACCACTGTTGCAACAACACCCTTGTTTTTAGATAAAGATGCACACGCCACCACAATAGTACGCACCGAATACAATCACCTATTATTCAGCACTACATACATATACTGAGGCATCTAAAACTTGTTTAGAGTATACTGCATTCACCTACCTACAACTGCACACACAACATAATTAAAAGTGCAAATTAATTTAAAAACTGTCCATAAGGGATACTCACTAAAAGAAAAACACGTTCCGAATAAAAAACAAAGCCAATAACGTTATAACCCCCATCATCGTGCCCTACCCACCAAATAAGCATGATTCACTTACTAATGTCCCTTTATGGACATACCAGAACATACATTCAAACAGAAACAGTACTACGCACCAACCGATTACCCTCTATGCACATTCAACTGCATCGGGGGCATAATGTGAATCTTCAGGGGGGAATAGTGCCTCATCAACTGCATCGGGCTCATCATTTGAGTCATCCGAATCCGGGGCTGATTTTGCAGGCTGATGGGGTAATTCAATTGCATCGGTCTGTGGCAAAGGTGCCACCACATCTACGGCAACTACCGACTCAACAGCAACGTCACTTGGGAATGGCAAAATTAATGCACAGAAGCAAAAAAAAAAAAAAAAGAAAGAAAAAAAAAAACACCATAACTTGGTCAGTATCGGGCAAAATAAATTCAGAACAACGAAACAGAGCCAGTAACCCAAAAAAATGCACTGAAGTCATTCAAAAGCCATGATTTCTAAAAATTGAATTAACAATAAAAAAATGATTTGACAAAATTGAATTGACCTTGCCAAGCAGTTGAATCATGGACATTCTGGAGTAAGGAACCACGGCTTCAAGTACTATATTGGAAGCTCCTGAAACCGACATCAACCACCCCATCGCCTAACCAAATTCGTATTTAAGCAATTCATCGAACACATAATATGCATCTGCACGCAATAAAATCTGGTGTCAAGAAGAGAAACAGAAAAGCTGTATGAGCACTGATACTTGTTCAATGTCATAATCTCAACTGGATTTTGATTTTTTTTATTTTTTTATTATTTTTATTTTATTATTTTTTTTTTTTTTTTGCAGTGGAGTGATTGATACACATTCTCCATAAAGAATTAAGATTATAGCTGGGAAAATTACCTTTGTCCTTTTCTTTTCAATTGTTGTGGTTCTGCACACTTAAGTAGCCTAATTTCAATTTATGCCTTTAAAGTTTAACTTGTGTCTCATATATTGTTCATCCTTTTGCACACTGACATTCTCCTGCTCTCATACACTAACTGATTGTTGTGTTGTGAGAGAATTTAGGGGTGAGTAAGAATCCCCCCAATTTGTTAAATCTGCCTTAATTCTTGAAATATGTCAAATTCCTTCCCATCCAATCTGCAAGACTTGTTCAATTGGCATTTGGCAGAAACTACTTGCAAGCCAAGAAGAATGAATATTCAACCCTGCCCCGGAAGCTATTTCCAAGACACAACTCAACAGCACCCACCTACCGGATGCCAACCCCCCCCCCCCCCCCCCCCCCCCAAAAAAAAAAAAAAAAAAAAAAAAAACACACACACACACACATGCACAACCCCATTCACCAACCCCCTGACCCAGGATCAAACAACCCCCCGCTGTCACCCTTGCACCACCCCAAAACCCAGATTTCATAGACAAAGAAAAATAAACAACCCCCGGTGATAACCCCTTGTAAAAATCACACAAGCAAGAACTACGACCGCCCAAGAAATCGAAAAACCCAAAACCCCAACCCAATCCCCTTAACTACGGCAAGAAACCCACAAAAAAGGGTGAAAGAACACCAAAAAATAAACAACAAAACAAATTTAATTTAAAAAAAAAAAAGAAAGAAAAAGAGAATGCCGAAAGATAGTACCCGCACTAGACGAAGACGAGATACCCCTAAGTCGCTTGGACTATCTTCTGCTAGACCCATCCATGGAGATACTGGCGCCGGACAATCGACGCACGCCTGCGACCGGAGGGAGAAGAATCGACAAGAGAGAGGAGATTAGCAGTAATACAAACAACTGAGAGAGAAAAGCGTAAAGAACAATAAAAATCAACCTAAAAAGTGAATAAATGATGGATAAAAACCGCCGGATATAACGCATAGGGATAATAAAAGCATAAGCCAAAATACAAACTTACCCCTTCTTACCTAAATAATCAGCGCACATGGGGAATAAACCAACACCATCCGAGCCCTTGATCAAAAGAAATCAACGACCAGGGAGTGTGCTCACGTGCTCGGCTGATTGGGGGGTGTGCACTGGATTCAAAATCTATATATATATATTATATATATATATATATATATATATATATATATATATATATATATATATATATATATATATATATATATAATTGCACTCTGGTGCGAATGGAGCGCCCAGGTGCGAATATGCGAATGCATGATATTCGTCCACGTGTCCAGATCTAGTGGATGAGAAATACTGATTTTTTTTTTTAAAAACGCGGTGACATTTTCGTAAATAATTGAACATCGAAGTGCAAGTAAAATGTGTTATAGGTGCAAGTAAAAATTTACACTGAGCATCAATACTAAGTGCACCTATAGTTATAAGTAGTTGCACCTAGGTTCATGAATGTTTGCGGGTGGTTTTCAGGGGTATTACTACTTGCTGAACTCAGATCAATGAATCTTAACAAGGCAAAATTACGTGCACTTGCAGGCGAAAGTAGGTACACTTGTAGGTGAAAGTAGGTGCATCTGATCAATGAATGCAGGCAAAAACTACATGCACTTGCAGGCGAAAGTAGGTGCACTTGTAGGTGAAAGTATGTGCACCCGATCAATGAATGTTGACACGTGGCGCGCGCTGATTGGTTCACATTTCTCTCCTGGGCACAATATATGTTAAATTTCAATATCTAGCATCGGGATCAAACATGTATTACAATATAACATAACTAAAAATATCCGAACCAATAATCATCTATTGAGTTCAATCAAAATCTAAAACTTGGTGCAGAATTTAAGTTTTAATTTTGATAATGTGAATAATGTCTAATTTTAAGCGTAAGAAAATAAGTTATGTTTATATAAATAATGCAAGTAAAAAAGATAGAAAATGGTGATAAATAAAATAAGATTATAATGAATGTAGTCATATAGTAATTGATAAATATGTAAGTAGATAATTGTGCTTTATTAGGTTGAGAAAATATGTTTGAACAGATACTACAATGTAATAGAGTCAGAAACATTCAAAGTTTTTTTTTTTTTCTTTTTTACAGATGATTACGTTTTTCATTTAGAAAACTGGAAAAATTATTTCAGGTTTTCAAAATGAAAAACTATGATAATAAACATGTTTTCTCTTTTCTATTATCTAATCCTCAAAAATTTGGAGAAATTTGTCCGTTAGTAAACGGAACCTAGTACTTTTGATAAAAAATATAATACTTTTACATCAAAATGTAAAAGTAGCACATTTTTCTTCAAAAATATTACATTTTTGTTATATAAGTAATACATATTTTATTCATGATTTAGTATTATATTTGCTAATATAAATATTACATTTATCTTACTTGACCGTCTCATGAATAAGATTGATTCATGAGACAATTTCATTGACAAAAATTCATGAAATGGTTCCACAGGAATATTTGCAAAGTTTAAGGGGGCGTTTGGTTCAGGTTATATAACATAACCAAGGGAATGTGACATTCCAAAGCTCACATTCCTATGTTTGGTTCATATTATCTTAGGGAATATAACAATCCCAAAGAATGTCACACTCCTTCCACATAAGATTTTGAAGGGAATGTAATTCCCTTCAATTTTTTAGGTTATGTTAGTTATATATATATATATATATATATATATATATATATATATATATATATATATATATAATTATATGTGTAATTATATATTTTTTATTTTTATTATGTTATGTTAGCATATAACTAATTTTGTTTCTCAAGTTCAAGATTTTAGTTAATATTCTAAAATCATGTAATTATATATGATACTGTTATCTTATTTATTTATTTTAATTTTTAAATTTATTAAAATATATAAAAATATGTTAAAGATATTATAGTGTGGTATAAAAGATAATCTAAACCAAACATAATTACATTACATACCCCAATTTTAACCAAACACAGAAATCTAATATTCTCACTTTTTCAGCAATTTAACATTTCTAAAGTAATCTAACATTTCTAAGATAATCTAACATTCCGTGACCAAACGACCCCTAAAAGGTTTGCTCCGAGAGTAACCAAACAATTTAATTTAAAATTATTTTGCATAAAAATATGCCGCGTCGACCACTCCATCTAGCGCGCCTGGGCGATTGAAAAACACTCAAAAAGCTTCCCAGACACTCTTCGCATTCGATCCCCAAGACCCACACTCGTCGCTCCTACTGCATTCTTTTCTCTCGTCTACATCGATTTCAGCGGTAAATTAATCTTGTTACATTCATTACGCTGCGTTGCTTGTTAAATTCTGCATCTGAGGTTTCAATTTCTATCGATTTTCTGAAAGTTTTTAAAAATTGTAGAGGTTTCAGGTTACATTTGGTGTTTTTGGATTGGTATTATATTTATTTGTCGTGTTTGTCTGCTGCGCTCTAACTGTTTCAGAGTTAATGCAGTTTTTCTTTTCCCAATCCAAAAATTTTTGCTAATTGTTTCTAGGGATTGCATTACTAGGGGAACGTAGTGAAAGTATCATATTTTTCATGATAAGAACTGAATAATTAGAGCGAGAACTACTTGAATTGTTGAAAATTAAAAATTTCAGCATCCCTTGCAGGATGTAAAAGCTCCATTTTTAACAATGTTATTCAGGTGAGATTTGAGAAGCATCAAACACCAATGTATGTGTTGACCTGATTAATGGTTGGGAGTCAACGTCATTTTTTTCTTGTGTACTGAGAAGGAAATTTCCTGTGCAGATACACTAGATAGAATTAAAGCAGTAGAAACCAATTCTTACAAGAGTAGGGTTTTTTTTAATCACATGATATTCCACAAATGGATATTCATATTTCAGTGGGCTGAGTTGATATGAGTTGGAAAATGTATAGTTCTTTTTTTCTTTTCTTGAATTTGTACCTGTCATCTTTAATTGGGAGAGCTTAAATGAGCAACAGGAATTATTTTGATGGATCTGTTTTTGGATCTATAGAGGTTGTGGGATAGAATGTATTGGTTTATTTCAAGAGAAATTCCTTTCGAAAATGTTTTCTGAGAGGGTAGTAGGAATTTGGTATACAATACCTCATGTTATTTAGGAGGTCTCATTCAGTTTTATCATTTGTTCCAGATATGGAAGAAAATGCACAAAAGTCTCCACAGATAGCTTATCCTGCAGAAATTGCTGATGCAAAGTACATTGCAAGACTTAGTACTATTCTTGTTGCCACAATCGAGGAAGCAAAAGACAGGATTTCTCAGATAGAGTATATATTCTGCAGTCAACTCTTCCCAAATTTCCAGTCAAACTCTAAATGCTTGCAGCAAATTTTTATGGAAGCAAAGAATGCTGCTGAAGCTGCATGGAAAGAAAAGGAAAATGACCTTTTGCTACAAATGGAAAAGATCCAGGTTGCAAAGCAGCAGATTCTTGAAGAAAATCTGTCTCTGAAGTTGGAGAATGCAAAACTCTTGGATGGTGAATTTTTGTGGAAAAAACAAATCAAAGAGCTTCAAGAAGATATAGAGCACAGAACTTGTGAACTAAATGAGTTAAGGGAAGTGCATGAACAGTTAAGTAAGCTTCTTGAATCAAAAGCTTCACTGATCCGGAAATATGAGGACACACAGAAAGAACTTGAACATAAAAATGTTCTCCTTTCGAAGACTCAACAAAATCTGGAGTTTGAAGTTCAGAGATTACAGATGGAAGTCAATAACAAATCTAGAGAAATTGATGGAGATTTGGAATTGCAACGTAAGCTAGTCCAGATGGCTCAAGAGAAAACTTCTTCAGTAGCATACAAAGAAAGACAACTGAAGAAATATGAAGAGAAGACAGAAAAGCTTCTTTCTGAACTTCAAGAAGCACAGAGAAACGTTGAGAAGCTTCAAGAGGAACTGAGGGAAAAGAGCACTGCAATAGAAAAAGCAATGGAGGTACAAGAAAATTTATTAAATAAAGTTCAATCCAAGGACCTGGAGCTAATGAATAATGAACAATTGTTGAGTAAATTTCAGAGTGAGAAAGAACTACTTATGGCAAAAATGAAGAATTTGGAAGTTCATGTTGATGAGCTTCAGATAGAACTAAGGAAGAAAAATGTTGATGTGGAGGAGGGAAGGAAATTACATGAAGGGTTGCTCCAACAGATTGATTTGTACTGTCTAGAAAGATCAAAGACAGGGCAGGAGTTAGAAGAGCTTGAGAAGGAGAAGAAACAACTGCTAGCGAAACTCCAAGTGAATCTGCAAGCGAGAAGCACTGAATCTTCTCAGGCATTGGCGTTTGATGGAAAGTTACTTGAGCAAATTGAAGCAAAAGACTCAGAGCTGTTGTCCGCAAAGAAGAAAATAAAGGATATCAGTAATGCTTATAAGAGTTTGAAATCTCAGTACAATTTTCTACGTGCAAGAGCAGGTCTTACTTCAGATAATGTGAAAACCAAAATCAAACTGGAAGATGAAAGTAAATTGAGGCATAACCAAAGTCCGCTAACTAAAGACGGTAAATCTCCTAGTCCTCATTCTTTATTGCAGTTCTGAGATTCAGTTAGCATGCTTAGAGCATCTCCCATGTCATCCAATTGAACTAAATATTTGTTCATTATGGTCAATACAAATAGGAATGAACTTTTGATTGCCCTCATTATAATCTTATTCTTGACTAATGACTATAGCAATTGCATGTGATCTAATAGGTGTTGAGACTGATGTTCCAAGAGCTACTATTATTTCCTGTGAAGAGCCAAAGCAGGACAATGTCCTTGAAGAAACAGGAAATAATGAAGTTGTCAAATTGGCTCAAAGATCAAATTCTGTCTCACCTCTTATTGCAAACACTTCTATTGCCCTTAAAGATCCCCAGTATGTGAAATCTTGCCTACCAGCTGGCAGAAAGCGCAGTGGATCTTATTGGAGGGATACCAGGTCCCATCAGAGCCGAGTTGGACCAGATCCTCATGACGATTTTCTAGATACTCCCTTGGAGAATGTTAGAAGAAATACAGGAAATGTCATAAAGGAAGATATTTCAAATCTTCCAAAGGCAGTTCCAAAAGACATGGATTCTGAAAACTCAGATGATGAAACACAGGACATGAATATTGATCGGGACCCTCAAAAACAGCAAATTCCATCTTCAAGGCCCAGTACATCAGGGTTTAAATACATTGAACCTGTCAGAAAGAAATCTGAAAGGGAAAATTTAAAAGGGATTGAATGCAAGCAGTGCAAAAAGTTCTATGACGCCGTGCTTCCTAGTGAAGGTAATGACTTTGGTGCTAATGCACAGAACTTGCGCTGTGAGCATCATGATGGAGTATCTAGGCATCGATATAGGTATGCACCTCCTTCAACTCCAGAAGGGTTTTGGAACCTAGGATTTGAATCAGAAATGTAACTTCTTTTAGTTTGGAGATTCATTTTAATTACTCACTGTTGAATAGTGTACAATTAAAAAAATGAAAAAAAATGTAGAAGATATAGCATAGTTCCTGACTCCTGAGTTTTGCATTTCAAAGTTTCTGTATACTTCTTTGGCTGAATATTGATCAACAATTTTATAAAAGAGGATATGGCACAGGTTCAACTTTTATCTCATCTTTAGTAAGTCAGGTTTTGGCATTACGTATCCCTCCTAGCTGGACTCCAGGTAAGATTACTCAAGCTTATTTCTTTTAGTAATTATGTGGGGATTAAGCTGCACATTGCTGGTGAAACATTATAAAGCAGAGAAAGCTTGACTTTTAACTGGGATAATTTCAGCTGCTTGTTGAGTGCAGAAAAAATAAAAATTTCTTTGATGTGGTGGTATGACTAGATGCTCCATGTGTTATGTTTATGGACAGAGCCTGTTAGGGTTTTGTATTTATGGAGCATTATTGTGGAAACAAATGAGTAGGTGGCCAGACTGTTCCACAAGCTCAATTTGGTATTCTACTTCTAGAATAATGTCTTTGAGGGCCAAACTTGATCCTCATCTCTTCAAACTCATTCAAGCTAGCTAGGGTAGTATCAACTATCAATTGAGTTATTATATTTTAGGATTGATTTACAAGTTTTGGATAGAACTAATGCAGTCTGCAACCCTTAGAGAAAGAGATTGAATTGTAAGTGTGATATTATTGATGGGGAATATGCTCACTTTTTATTGGCTCCACCCTTGGCTTGTATGTGGGAATTTAGTGAAGTGGGGTCCATGAACCATGTTAGTATCTAGGGAAGTCACATGGCTTGTTGACATGCATTTGCTCAGCCACTCAGACTGGCCACTGACCTGTGTTTTCTGCTTCTTTGCCCAATTTGTTGTACCTGATTCCATTGTTTAATGCAGCATGCTTGGTAGTTGGCACATTGGTCCTATCTTGCATTTAGTTAATAATTCTTCCCCTTCTCCCAATCTTATCTCATTGCATTTTGCTAAGCAATAAACTGGCATACCCATGTGTTCAATTTCATCTTCCTCTTCCTGTTCATTGCATTATCCCAAGCTGAAATTATTGTTTTGTGCTTTCCCATACATATGCAATTGGTTAATTAATTATGAAATTTCTACTTTGATTTTCTTTAATTCATTAATATTATTCAGTGAATTACAATGTTGCAAAAAACGTTTGGTGCCCCCTAGGCGCCGATTTTTTTTTTTTTTAATTAAAAAAAAAATAAAAATTAAAAATTTTCAAAATTTAGTACTAAACATAAGGTATTTCTTAGAAACTATTTGCAAAAGTGGTTGTAAAATTGTTCAAAAGATTGTTTAAACCATCTAAATACATATAAAATTAAAATTAAGAGCTAAAGAAGCATTTTTTTGAGAAATTAGTGGATCAAACCGCCTTCGGCTGTTTGCGGTGTATAGATCTCGAAAAAATACGCGAGCTGAAAAAAAAATTGACCAAATCGGACAACCGAGTCAAAAGTTATGCCTTCCGAAAATTTTCCGACATTTAAAAAAAAAAAAAAAATCGCCGAACCGGCCGGTTAGGCGGTCTAGGCGGCCGGCCGCGGAGAAGGCCGCCGAGGCCATTCCTCGCGGCGGCCTCCTAGCGCCTAGGCACCGATTAATCGGCGCCTAGGCGTGATTTTTGCAACCTTGGTGAATTGTAATTCCATTCCTACCAAACTCCATGGAATTTATATTCCATGATTTGGTTGGAAAAAATTGCAGAATTGCAATTCCCTCCAACTATGGAATTATAAATTTGTAATTTAACCCTGGATTATTATTATTATTATTATTATTATAAAATAAAATTTTAGTCTTTATTCAATTCTTTTCTTTCAATTTCTAACTATTCTACTCATGCTTACCAAATAATGTAATTTGAATTTTCACATAATTACAATTTCTTTCCCGCTTTAAGAGCATCTACATTAGGGTTTAATATGGGGTTCATGTCAGTGGAAATAACTCAGATGGAGATCATGCATTAATGTGGGGATTAATTGTGTAGAAATAATTCTCCTGCAAGAGACAAGATATTGCAGAAATTGAATTTAAAAAAAAAAAATGCTGAAGAAGCGTGTTAGGCGCAATTTGTACCCATAGTGGGCGTCATAGCGGCCATTCTGACCTTTTCAGTTTTTTATTTTTTAAATGTTAAATTTTTTTTTTTCTATTTCATAATCATACTTACAAAAACTCCTAAAAAAAAACTGTAAAGGGGTTAAAATATTATGGATGCTCTAATCAAATGCCCGTAAGATCTCTGTTCATCAAAAGTGCATCAAGTAACACTGTAAAAGTGTAAAACCACTTTTTGCTCCAATTCTTGCACGCCATTATTTTACTCCACTTTTCCCTTCTGTCATCGATAGTCCCTTTTTCTTTACTGATGCAAAAATAAATGCCGACATAATGAATCCATAAAATTTGAAAGCATACAAAAAATTTTAGGCTTAGTGCCGGAAAAAAATCCAAACATTTGTACTTTGTGATCATTTTAGCTAAACCTTTAAAAATTGATAAAAAACTTTAAAATTTTAAAATGTTTAGATTTTTTTTTTCTACCAATAAGCCAAAATTTTATAATATCTTATAACAGTATTTTATTGTTTTATAAAGTTGTATCTCTCACTTTGACAAAAAGATTAAATGAGTAAATAATATTATAGAAAATATATTTTTTATAACTAAAAGTTCAAATAAAATTATCCAAAAAAGATTTTACATTTATAAAAGCATGTTCAAATCTTATACCTACTAATAAATACTTAAACCAAGTAAATTGGATTATTTTTAGGATTAGATTCTATAATTGGGTGTAATTGTCATAAAACACAAAAGTTTACAAATTTAGATATAATTGTCACAAAGCACAAGTGTTTGAGCTTTTTTGGTCAATAATTCAAAATTTTACAATAGGTAAAATAGTTAGCTTATCAGCCAATTTTAGGTTGTTTGATCACTATTAGTTATTTGACTTGGTTAAACAACCAATATCAGACTATCAGCATTTGATTAATTAGCTTTTTGTAACAACATATTGCTCCAAGACATTAAAATTCAAAAAGTTGGTCAAAACAATTTTTTCAATTAGCTTTTTGAGAAAGTCATTTTATATGTAATCGCTAATTTACCAAATTTCTTTTTACAATCAGTTAATGCTATCAATTAGTCAAACCCACTAACCCAATCAACTAACAACTATGTACCAAACACCCCCAATATCTTACAACATTAATTAGTGCTATAAAGTTGTATCTCTAATTTTGACAAAAAAAAATAAAAATACGGAGTATTATATAAAATCTCATGCTATATAGGCGGAGAGATATTACATGTTTTTTGCCCTTCAAATTTCAACTACATTTTGCTTCTTTCATAAAAGTATACAAATATTTCACGTGCATGCATGACGCAACAAAGTCATCCACATCCCACCCAGAAAATATATCACTATAACAACATTAACAAGACGAAAAAACTTACCGCTAATAAATAATAATAGTATATAATAGTACACAAATTATAATTTATAGCAACCGAGTGAATTATTGTCGGTTAATTAAAACCATAAAAATAAAATAAAATAAAATAAAATGACTCGAAAAATAATTAACAAGTACGTAACGGCGATCCGCACAAGCAATCGTTGTTGGCGAACGAGGAGGCCTCCAGGTGGTCGAACGGCGAACCGGTCGGAATAGTGCCGCAGAGGTGGTTGTTGCTCAGATCCAAGTGGCCGATGTACTTAGCCGACGATAAGGATTTCGGAACCCTGCCTCGGAGGTTGTTGTGGGACAGGTCGAGAGCGGTGAAATATGTGCTTGGGCCGAAAACGTCGGGAAGTTCGCCTTCAATGGAGTTCCGGCTGAGGTTCAAGATGTTTAAACCGGAGTTGCTTAGCAGGCCGGCGGGTATTGCGCCGGAAAGCTGGTTGCTGTCGAGGTTTAGCGTGGAGAGAACCGGCATGGAGCCGAGAAAACCCGGGATTGAACCGGAGAGCTGGTTCGTTGATAAATCGAGATCTGCGAGGCGGCGGAGGTTGGCGGTTGAGGTTGGGATTGGACCGGTGAGTTGGTTTTTCTGAAGAAGTGCCCGGCTCATCATGGTGAGTTTTCCGAGATCTAATGGGAGTTCTCCGGTGAGCTTGTTGGCGCTGAGATCCAGGTGTTTTAAGCTTCCCAGGTTAACAATGGAGTTGGGAATAAAACCGGAGAATTGATTGTCGGCGAGATTGAGAACAGTAAGTTTACTGAACTCCCCAATGTCGGCCGGAATTTGGCCGGTGATTTGGTTCCCGGTGAGGTCGAGAATCCGGAGGTTAGAAAGAGCGGTGATACACGGCGGAATCTCGCCGGAAACCGCCTTCCAGTCGGCCAAAATGAGTGTACTGAGACGGTCGAGCTTACAAACGGAGGGAGAAATCCAGCCCTTCATGTACCCAGACCGGCCGGCTTTGACTAAGATCTTATCCTCGGACTCTCCTCGGAGACTAATGTCGGCCACCCGGTTGTTTGTGGGGTCGCAGGTGACGCCGTACCAGCCGGAGCAGCATTTGGTGCCGCTCCAAGTATCCAAGATGCCCAAGTAAGGCTCGTCCAGAGCCGCCTTGATGTCTAGCAGCGCCGCCAGGTCCGCCGGCGAGCAAGCGTTAACGGAAAAAGTAACGGCGGCTAACACAATCGTCAACAAAACCACTCTCACCTCCATCTCGATCTCCTCTCCGTATCCGTTAAATTGAATCACTCTCTTCTTCTCTTAGTGGAGTAATGATAAGTGGAGAGTGGAGAAGCTTTATTTATATATATACACAATAAGCATAAATGTATCATTGATGAAGAAGAGAGGAGGAACAGCGGCTCTTTGGTGGGGTCCATCCATAAGGCAAAGCTTTTCTTTTTCGTATAGTAGAAAGTGGGAACGACAGTGGTCCAACTATATATTATTATTGAGTTAATAACTAAAAACGTTTCTAAACGACTTTACTGATCTAATGTAATTCAGAATTTTGTATTTTTGTTCAATTTAGTCTTAGATTTTGGTGTTTTTACTTAATTTAGTCCGTCTTTTGTTATTCCGTTCATTTAGTGTTAAATAAATAGACAATTCAGTAATTTCAATAATGACATCTCTTTATTCCTATACCTGCGAATGCTAAATCCCTCTTTTTGTTATGAATTACTCCTAAATCTGTGAATATAAAATTTGATTCGCATGTCTGGGAATAATTCATACAAGAAAGAGGAATTTCGTACTTTGCAGGTTGAAAGTAAAGAGATATCAATATTGAGATTACTGAATTGTCCCTTTATTTAACACCAATTTGACGGAATAACAAACGTATGACTAAATTGAACGAAACACAAAAGTCTAGGACTACATTATGTCACCAAAGTCGTTTAGGACGAAATTGTGAAAAATCACTATAGTCGAGGACCATTTTGAGTATTAACTCTATTATTATTATTTGAAAAATTTTATTAAAAAAAAATGCTCGCTGTTATAAATAAAAATAGAGTTAATACCATTTTTAGTCGTAAATTTATAACTGACAGCCCACTTTTAATCCTTTTTTTATTATAACATCTTTATTTAGTCCTAGTATTATTGCAGAATGATCATTTTTAGTCATCTTTCAACAAAATCGTTGAAATGTCGTTAAATACAAAGACATTTCAATCTTTTTTTTTTAAATTTTTATTTTAAATACAAAGTAGGTTGAATCGCAATATTTTTATATTTATTTTTTTGAAAAAATTCATAATTGAAGACAAAATTGCCCTTGTATTTAGCGATATGTAAACTGTTTTGTTGATAAAGGACTAAAAATGGTCATGTCACAATAATACTAGGACCAAAAATGAATTTTCTAATAAAAAAATGACTTAAAGTGGATTGCCACTTATAAATCTAGGACAATAAATGAAATTAACTCAATAAAAATAAATTTAATATTATATAAATAAAATGTTAATTATTTTGAAATATTATTACACATTTTTTTTTTTTTGTTGAGAACATTATTACACATTTCTATTTATAATGAGTAGGGTGATTTTAAGTATTGTAGAATTTGCCGAGCGCTACTAACAAAAAGTATTGAAGAATTCCACATTATTATTAGGAATAAGGGTCAAATAAGCCATCGAACTGCACACGATAAAACAATTAGGCCACCGAACTTAAAAAACTAACAATTAGGTCCCTAAACTAATCAATTTCAAACAATTCTTCTAATTTGAAGGTTTCCAACAGGTCAACAGGTCATACTTCCAAATTAATTATTTTTTAAAATTTAAATTTTAAAAATTAATTATTAAAAAAAAAACTGGTTCCACCGTCTCCGACTGGATTCCAGTTTTTTATTTTATTTTTTTTTTAATTTAAAAATAATTAATTTTTAAAATTTATTTTTCAAAAAAATAATTAATTTGGGAGATGACCTGTTGGAAACCTTCAAATTGAAATAATTGTTTGAAATTGATTAGTTTAGGGACCTAATTGTTGGTTTTTTAAGTTCAGTGGCCTAATTGTTGTATCGTGTGCAGTTCGATGGCCTATTTGACCCTTATTCCTTATTATTATTATCATTTGAAAAAAGTTCACTTTTGATCCATTGACTATTGTATATATATCAAATTTAATCTTTGATTATTAATATTTTCAAATTAAGTGTATGATTATGTAATTTGTATCAAATTGGTCCTTGACTATTAATATGTAATTTATTAAAACCAAAAACTCAGTCATAAACTCTAAAATCAAAACATTGTGCAATGCATTTTCGCATATGAAAATGTCACCGCGTTTTTTTTTTTTTTTTTTTTTTTTTTAAATTGATCTGATCCGTCTGAATTTTCCAAATGTAAAACTGAGATTGGTTCTTATTTCTCTCCTTGTTCTCATTTGATCCAATACCTATATATATAGGGAGTGGATCGAATGAAAATATATCTTCCCGTGCGGTTAACACAAAAAGACGCACCATAAGCATTCAAATGGCGGACCTTAAGTACACAAATCACGCACCTAAAACACACAAACAAAGCACCTTAAGAACACAAATCACGCACCTAAAGTTTTAAAATGGCGCACCTTAAGTTTCAACAATTGACGCACCTTAAACATACAAATCATGCACTTTAAGAAGGAAAACAACGCACCTTAAGAAGGAAAATCACGCACCAAAACCTTTAGCCCAACGCACCTTAAGTTTCAACAATTGACGCACCTTAAGCACAAAAATCACGCACCTTAAGAAGGAAAACCACGCACCTAAAGCTTTAGATCGACACACTTAAGTTTTCAACACCTGACGCACCTTAAGCCACACAGTACAAAAACTACTCACCTTAAGCACAAAACCCACGCATCTTAAGAAGGAAAACCATGCACCTTAAGAAGGAAAATCACGCATCTTAAATTTGACCTAGATGCAAAAAGACCAAATTGCCACCGCACATTTTTTTAATCACTGTTAATCCTGGATGTTGATTTAGGCAAGAGAGAGAGAGAGAGAGAGAGAGAGGAAAAAGTTCAAATGCGGCGATGTCCTTAGGTGCGGTGGAATTTCAGAATACACCAACAGTACAAACAATATGCACCAACAGTGTAAGAGAAACACACCACAATGAAATGCAAAAAAACACAAACAAATACACAACATACCCAAAAGAAATACACCATATAACTCACCACACCTCAATAATGTATTTCCGAACACCATATGGTGCTTTTACTCACACCTAATGGTGTATTTTTGGTGATGCGTACTTAATTTGTATGTGTTTTTGTTGTGCATTTTCCTAACGTTGATGGTGTATATTTGTTGAACTATTGGTGACGCCGCACCGTTGCACCTAAGAACATTGCCTATATATATATATATATATATATATATATATATATATATATATATATATATATATATAAAAGGTTGTTTAAACTATTTTAAAATCTAAACATGACATCCTATTATCTTTTGCATTGATTATATATTTATATAAGATTGGTTAATTCCATCAAAGGTCCATTGTCTCCAGGCAATTTCAAATTTAATCTTAGACTATCGTTTTTTTTCATTTAACATCCCAACCTATTACTTTTTGGACACTTTTAGTCATTCTCATGATTTTTTTCTATTTTTAGTAAGGGCATTTTAGTCTCTTCATATTTTTATTTTTTTTATTTTTTCGGTTTCAGCCGGTTTAATTGGTTTATAACTTTAGGTATTCTCTGATTTTTAGTAACCCTATTTTTAAACCGGTTTTTAATAAAGTCCTAAACCAATTAAATCGGTTGAAATCGAATAAACAACAAAAGAAAAATATAAATAGACTAAAATGCCCTTACTAAAAATAGAAAAAATCATAAGAAGGACTAAAAATGTCCAAAAAGTAATAATCTGAAATGTTAAATGACAAAAACAATAGTCTGAGACTAAATTTGGAATTACTACTAAAGACAATGGACCTCTAGTGGAATTAACTCTATAAGATATTATGAAAGAGCAAATTCTATTTTAGTCTTTCACTATTGTGGCATTGCCACATTTAGTCCTAGTTTTTTAATTTTGCCATATTACATCCCTGACTTTAATTTGATTGTCACTAGTGATCCTCCGTTAAAATCTCCGTTAATCTACTGTTAACTATAAGATCAATAATGTAATTTAATAACTTGTCTCAAATATATCTTCACCAACAAAAAAAAAAAAAAATTGTCTCAAAATTCAAATTAAATCCATCTTTTTTTTATGGAGTATAAAACTATTAAAATTTATACACAACAAAATTCAAGGGATTAACTTGAATTTGAGACAACAAAGTTATACTACGTAAGAAAGATGGATTCAATTTGAATTTGAGACTTTTTTTTTTTTTTTTTTTTTTGTGAAGTATATTTGAGACAAGTTATTAAATTACATTATTGACCTTATAGTTAACGGTAGATTAACGAAAATTTTAACGGAAGATCACTAGTGACAATCAAATTAAAATCAAGGATGTAATATGACAACATTAAAAGAGTAGAACTAAATGTGACAATGCCACAATAGTCGATGACTAAAAATGGAATTTACTCTATTATGAAATATAAAATGTTATCACTCTTTGAACTAAAAGATGCATGATAGATACGGAGAACAGGAGGAAAAGGGTCTTTTCAATCAAAGCGAATTAGTTTCACGTACGATATTAAATAATTGTTGTCATCTTTTACGCTTTAGTTGATAAAAAGGCACTTGTAAATAAAATAAAAGTTTTTTTTTCTTTTTCTAATTTTATTCCTCAAATGAAAAAGAGTTTAAAAAAATATGAAATATTATTATTGTATTAAAATTGAAGTGTGTTCTTACACTTCTCTCTATTTTTTTCTAATTTTTTTTTTTCCATTTTATTTTGTCATTACGAGTGCTTTACGGCGTTGATGATAGAAGAGATGTGATGGCAGGAGTGGATGTCATAATGGATTAGTTTAATTAATTAATATTATATGCTTGAATTGATGCTTAATATTTACGCCTTACAAATTACAATAATATTAATTTCATCAAGAACAAACAATAGTACGGCGTATATTATAAGCGAAATATCGTACTAAACAGTAACAATTCCGGTATATATGAAGTTACCATGATTTCAATATCTAATCATGTTGATTTCTTAGGAATTCTTCATTATATTTCATCTTCTTTATTTTTCCGATAATACTATCACAGAATAAGAATGAATTGATTTAGTCCTAATCTTTTATCTAAAAATATATACCCTTGATTTATGTCTATTTTTC